GGGGGTTGTGTTAACACAAACTCTCCTTAACAGAGCCGCTTGTAAGAGCAAGGTGACTTTCTGCTCATTTAAATAAAACTTCTGTACAGACATTTTAAATTCTTCAAGCAAAATTAGCCGTCAAAATGTTATTTTTATATATCACAACCTGTTCAGTAAATAGAAAATATGAATGAGCAAATGTGAATATTATTTAAACGCCTATTTTTGAGACAGGGTGTTTCAGATATCAATAATGGGGGGAGTGGTATTAGTTGGAGGGAGGGGTGCACACTTATGCAACCAGGGTGTTGTAGGTTTTTTAATTTCAATTAGTTTTCCTAATATTTATCTATTCATTTTTTTCTCTTGAATTCTGTTGGTTGCAAGGTCACATTAAAGAGGGAAAAATGTCTGACATGATTTATAAGGGTAGACTTTCTATATCCACTGGAGGTTTGTACTGTATTTCACAAGCCTCAATTAGTTCCATCAGCATTATGATATGATTCCTAGAAATACGGGTTTAAGTGACTTTTAGTAGCAATGGAACACACCTTTTTATTATATTTCTTTAAAAATGTTCTTTTTTACAGGTGTTGATTCTGCAATATTATCTGCTTCTCTTTTAAGAAAATAATTGAAATCAACAATATAATCACTGTATTCATAAAAAGAATGATGAAAAGGAAATGCTATGTTTAGAAATCATGCTTAACTATGTTACTGTTTCAGCTTCTGCTACAACTGCCATAACTGTCTTAACTGTCACTTTAGTCTCAGATATCCAACATCTATCTACATGACCATATGATAGAACTAAGAAATGGGGATATGAAGGGCCTTTTGGGGCTTTACTATAACTGAATAGAACCCTAATATAAAATCATTTTAAGGAAACATTTTTGCCATTGATTTAGTGGTACATTTATAATAAACTGTATGGTCAACTGTTATTTACAGTAGTCTGTGGACCAGTCTGCACTGGTCTGTTCTGGTCTCAGACTTGACAGGCCATGCAGTAGAGAAGTGAGAGGAGTAAAGCTTTTGTATTGTGTGACTGCTTCTTCAACTAATCCACAAAAATTCAAAAGATTGTACACCTGTGGACATCTCTACTGCACAAGCAGTGATGTAACGATATTTCACATAACGTTATCTTGGAAAAATGTTAAGTTTAGCTATTATAAGACAAATTATGTTTTCAATCCAGAAATACAGAATTCATCTGATGTACTGTACAGTTGCTAATTAAAATTCTAATGTGGACGATTAAGCAGTCTTAAGACCCACAAAAAAGAGTTAATATTTCTTCAATAAAGCAATTAAAAAGTGCTGACAGCTCATACATATGACATAAACTAGAAGATCTTGTGACCCTTAAGTCCGACAGCCCAGTATTTGAAGATAAAAATACTGAATACAGAAAAGAAGGGGGAAAATCATTTCTGAGAGCTGATTAGATTGGATTGCTGCATGGTTAATGATGACCTTTAGTAATAGCGCTTCAACAGCTTAGTCTGATCAAAAATCGGTCCAGTAGCAGTGAGATCGACAAGGATAGTTCATGCAGAAAACTGAGGTACTCTTATTTGTGAGAGAATGATTTCTGAAGAGGAAGCATTAATTCAGATTCAAGGGCACGTTCCAAACAACCCAGTCTGCTCTCTGCTCTTTCAGTAGCTGAGAAGAAGTTAATTAGAGTAATTATCATGAGTCCTGTACAGAAGAAAGTTCCCCAGTTATTTCGGGCAGGTGAGATTAATTTGTCCCTCTTCCCTTTATCTAATGTTCTTTAATTTTAAAAAATCGTTTCTGTCCTTTGATGTTCGCTACAGAAAACAGGAAGTCTGACTTGTCAACAAAGTAACTAATGAAGTTCTTTAAAAAGATTGAAGAAGACAATCGAGAGTATAAATATATGCCAGATGATTCCATGTACATTTTCCCTCGCATTTATGTAATCACAATAAAAAAGTAAGCTATATCAAAGAAAATCATAACATCTAACAAAGTTAAAGAAAAAACCAGGGAGCTTAAGCCAGTTATTACACAACTAAAGCAAAAACACCTACAGTACAAGTGACTTTTGAAACCAAAACTTTTTTTAAACATTTTTTTAAAACAAAATCATTATTTTTTATAACAGCTGAATATTTTCAGAGTGTTTTACATTGTGCAGTACTAATTATTATCAAACTAGTATATAACAATTTCATATTAAATTCATGCCTTATTGCTTTAAACAAATGTTTAATATATTATAGTGATGTCTCAATAATGGTATGTGAACGACTTAAAATCATATCTCTGTTCATATCTCTTAAACCAATTTTATTTTATTTTTTATAAAGTGAAACACTCCAATTACATACAGCCAGGCTTTAACAATACCCACTTCCTCTACCAAAAATGGTTTATAAAAATGTAATGGGATTTTAATAGGAGATTGTTTCAGACAGGCCTACCCCATGAGAGTCTGTTGCAAACTGACTTCTACATGATCTTCTAATTCTCATTTTATTTTATGTACATTACATATAACTCAAAGCCCCTAAACACAGTTAACAAACTATTTTTACAGCTGTAGGTGACTAGGGAGTGTCTCTCAGAGTTCAGATGAGATGTGTAACACCTAGAAGTGTAAAGATTTCCAGACTCAAAGCAGAGATAAAGGGGGTCTAGAGTCTGTGATCAAAGAACATCATAGTTTACTTTGGTTTACCTTTGTTAATTAAGTTCTGGGTAAATGATTAAGTACCAGTCAACTCTCCAGAAACATGCTGTATAAGATCAGATCAGGAGGTAAGAAAAAAGAGAGGGAAAAGGGAAGGTCAGACCACAAGAGAGAGAGGAGCCAGGAGGAGTTGGGACTAGGAAGTTTACGCCAGGTGAGAGCCCCTACTTCATGATCATCCACACAAAACCCAATCAGAGCTAAGTATTGGAACCTTTCTAGAAAACGTCTGCTATTCTGTGTTTTTAGGGAACTTAGGTATCCTGAGTAAAAGATACCTCGGTTAAAGACGGCCTTTAGAGACAGAGATTTAACTGTATGCTGTATTGCATTCTGCTTTACTTAGAAGGCATCTTATCTATTCTTTGGCTTCTATGGCGATTATTTTATTATTGACTAATCCGCTCTGTCAATTCCTGCTTATTCTCCATTTCTGTAACCCCCATTTGTAACATTTTTTTCCCCACAAGAATGCACAAAACAGCACAAAAACAAGCAACTCATGCCAGAAAGGCAGGCGCCTCTGCCTGGGATAGGCCACCTCTGCCTCACAGTCACCTTTTGCATCACAGAGCTGGAGTCTTTCACCCCACTCTTCTTGCTCTCTCGTTTTCACCCACGTTCTCCGGCAGAGCCAGGAGTATAATTCACATCTCTCTCTCTCTATATCAGGGCTGAGGGACTCCAGCTGAGTGTCCTGCTCTCTGGTCTCAGCAACTACAAATGCACAACAAGCAGTTCGCTGGCAGAGCCAAGAGAGAATAACCTGCAACGCATCCTTTCTGTGTCTAGGGAGCTCACCAGTCTCACAGCTACACGTTCACAACTTATCAGTGGGTGGCCCTTCAAGCCCACCCCACACCATTGAGTCACACATACTGTATTTTCACAATCTTTCAACTTACATCTGCTCACAAGTACTTAGGCATGACAAAACAGGAGAGAAATCATGTTGCAGTCCAAAATCCCTTTTCTGTCAGAGCTTCACTGTCAAAATATTCTGGCTGTTGGAACCTCCTGGAGTTCCTAGATCTCACAAGTTGTTCTAGGGAAGACCTCCATTCCACACAATGTTAACTCTCACACACAAACAGACTGGTAATGCCTCCAAGTGTCTGTGACCAACAGCCCCAGCCATCCAGGTCAAGCTTCTTCTCCACCATTTCCCCAGCATACAGTACATTCAATCACCCACAGACACCTGCAGACTACATCTAGTCTGCTGTCTAGCACTGCCACACTGCTGGCTTATCAGATCTTAAGCATTGACATCTGCTGCTTAAGTCTGTCTTTCTCAGACCCCTGACAATATTCACAGGCTACAACACCACCTCTACAACTGCACACAAACAAATTCTCTTCCAACGACCTCAGTCACACAACTCACACAGCAGATAACTAGCTGCTTCTTCAGTGCTTCTTAGCAACCCTGTAGCTGATGTCCCTCAGATAAACAGCCATGCTACATCTTGTGGCAAATAAACACACAAAGACAACAGACTATGAGTTCTATCACAAATCTGTCTTGGTCATGTTTCAAGCTAAGTGTGAACAGGATTCCCCAGATGGTAGACCTGGAAACAGTCAGTGATGTGATGTGATAGGACAAAAATCAGTTAAATAGTATGAAACGTACAAAGCAAAAATCACTGTAACAAATCATTTCATAAACTACTCCCCACTGCAACAGTTGTCAAAACATACTATATCTCTCTAAGGTGATGGAAGACCACCATTTAGAAATGAACAACTGGCTAAGAGTTTATGCCCGGTGATTGCTGACCCAGGATCTGAACTTAGCAGTAAAACACTATAGTTAACATCCTGGCTCTTTTTTACTGTGAGAATGACTCTATCAACAGGATTCTGAGCAATTTTAAGTAGCTGTGCTCATTTTCATTCTCTTCCACTAACTTCATTGTGGTGAAAAGCACAGGGGCAAGTGTCAGCAAGTATCTACCAACATTTTAACATTTTTTTTTAACAGCTTCATTTCCACCTCACATTTTTTAAAGTACAAATATGCATGGGTAATGGGAAGAGTAGCACATGTCAGTCAAAATGTCACTGAACATTTTGACAGCTTCTGAAACTAACTAAAGCTATGGTGTCACAACAGTGAGTTCTTCAGAGCAGAAGACAGACAAATTTAATACTTACCATCAATTGCTGACTTAAATCAAGGCCTACCAAACTTCAGAACAATAACTCTGTGAATGACTGATTTCTATTCTTTCTATGTTTTAGAATTTGTCTCTTGTAAAATAACTGAATAACCTGGCTATGGCTATTATTAAATAGCTACAATTAGTTCTTAATCACAAAAGTGTGATTTAGTACTTCTTTTTGATTTTGTACTACTCACAAAAAGTATCACTCTGTTCTTAAGTTTAGAGCTTTATTTATTTAGTACATGTTTCATCCATTACAAATGTGACAGCACAGCAACACTGTGTATTATTAAATTAAAAGTGAGTTATTTTTCATTTTTACAAAATTACTCTCTGCATGGGGAAAATCCATGCAAAATGATGATTTTGGCTCATGGAGAGGATAGATATAAAAACAAAAAAGAGAAAGAGACGGAGTCAGAATAGGCCCTTGAAATGTGTTTCTTGTGATTAGTTTCTTGCTAACTTAGTCACTTCACCATTTAATAACACACAAAGCAAAAGTTAAATAGTACCTTCAGCAGGATGTCCACAATTCGCTGCTGGTATTCAAGTGCCTGCTTGTCATTCTTGAAGTCTTCGAAAGTCTGTCAAATGACACCAAAATACAGCACAATACAACCCAAGATATAAAAAATACAGTACAGTGCTATGACCCAAGGATGCTGATGAATATACAGTAAAACAGTAAAATTTAAAAAAATCCTGCTTCCTTCTATTTTTTTCTTATTAAAGCAGATATTATTACCACAGAGAAAAAGGCAGATATACTTGGTATGCATATACAATTACTCTTAACCTATAGTTTTCTGATTCACTTAGGCATAATTTGTAAAATATCCAGATGTGGTTTGCCATAAAATATGTAGAATCTGAACTGGATTTACATTTAAGTTGTATGGAGAATCTTATTTTAGTCCATAATGTTAAAAAATGTGAGGTGATCAGTGAAATGTGAGGTCAGTTTAGAGATTGTCCTCACAGTGAAACCTGTTTTGTCAAGGTTAACAGTTTAAACTTAAATGATAGATTTCTCTTTAGTTTCTTCTTTGTATCTGGACTTTTCACTAACCCTACACACTCTATGTTGAGTGCCCCTTTTGAGTGAAGACTGGGACTTTTTTTCTTACCAGTGCCAGAACATTGAGGAACTCCCTGGTGTCGAAGTGCAGCAGTGTGCGAATGTAAGGGCAGATCTCTTCATCAGGGGGCGCCTCTGTGGAGTGAAGACGGATCAGGAACTCAAACACCTGCCACACAAAGAATGAAAATGATAAGAGTCGTGATGAGAATAAGACCAAAAGGCTCTTTTCTGGTGATTAGTTAATCCTACTTTCACACATGCATTCTTGGTCTGGCAGAAGGGTGACACACAGTAATTTGCAATTAATTAGCAGTTACTGTATTAAAAGGTTTCATTCCAATAGCTGCCTACAATCACTTTACAGTCAAAATGGGACAAAGACATTTTTATTGCCCCTTGACAAACATAAAAATAATGGAAGATGATCATTAAAACCCCACAGTTTTCAAACATATTTAATCTGCATGTTTTGCAAACTTCACTTTCATTTTAGGAAGTGACAGACTTGTTCTGATATAGGTAGATAATTAGTCAGGTGAAGGCAGTAGGCTACTTTCTGTACTTTTCACTGAATTCAGGGTTTGATTTAAAGTTTTGATATAATAAAATAAAATTTAATCAATTTTTTTCAGTTTGGATAATCAAATTGTTCACATAGTGCAATAACAGGACTAAACTATTCATTACCATATATGCAAGATGTCACAGTCAAGAGAAACACAGTATGAATTCTGGTTATAACTAATGTTGATTTCTTGATTATAATCTCTGGGACAAGATTATTGAACACGATATATACAGTTGTACATGCTATGTACTATGTATACAGTTATGTTGTATTTTAATATAATGTTTCTCCTTTACTATGTTAAACTGTATTCCACTGTTCCACATTCAGGGCATGCGTGTTTTAAAAATTAAGTTCCGTGTCCTCCCAATATATAAAAAGATACTACATGCAAGAACAGAATGGAAGCAAGATAAAAAACCAAGATGCTGTTCTATCTAAAACACAAATCCAAATGATTTACCAATTTCTATAATTTCCTTTAAACAACAGTTTAAACTTCTGTTTGTTGAAAAAACACAAATAATTAAACTGACTTTTTTTCAAACTGTCAATCTGTGAGTACAAAGAACCCCACATGAACACAGGGAGAATCCGCAAACTCCACACAGACAGAAGCACAAGGCCTGACTCATGAGCAGGAACAATAGTTAGTACTTAGATCTCCATCCACCTTCCATCATATTCAATGTTTGAATATTCAATCATCTCCCTATCTGTCTTTGTAGGTTACAACAATATGTTACCTAAGATTTCAACTGTGTCAAAGAAATCGGACACTTTGCATCCTTTGCCTAAATAAGAATAAATAAAAGGAATATGATTCCTTTGAACTAGGTAAGATGCTCTCCTCGCATGCATTGCTAGTCAAAATGGAGATGAATGGTATCAGCTCATAGAACTGCTCCTTAGAAATCAACTGTTCAGCGTTTGATCTTAAAACTAGCAATTGTTAAGATTTTATCATTAACTGAAATTGTATGTCTTCTATAAGAAAAAAGGCCAACCAGACCCGTTCACTTGGATGAGGATCTTTGTTTCAAATTATACCTCAACAACTTTCCAAATGACAAGTGCCTTTTAGGGAGGGTAAGTACTGAAGAAGGCTGCGGTTCTGTCCTTTTTGCTGTTAAATGTCATGCTCAAAGATAAAGGGAAAGGTCAGATAACTCTCAAAAAGAGTTGGGGTGTCTTGGCTAAATGGAAGTGGAGTGGAGTCCCCATTACCTATAAAGTACTTTGAATGGAGTGCAAGTATAAGGAATTATTATAATTGTTATTATTATGATTTTGATTATTATTATTATTTAAGCAGGTGGAAATACCTAATGAAAAATGACATTTTGAAGCGACTAAACCACAATTAAAACAATTAATATTCATTTAAATGCTAATTACAAATTTAATAATAATAATAGCATTTATTTATGAAGCACCTTTTCAAACCCAATGATTTCTTTAGTGATAAAGAAAAAATACAATGAAAAGTAAAAAGAAGAAAAAAAACAAACAATGCCATACAGGTTTGTACAGATGGAATGCAGGGCAATCAGACATACTGTAGATCTTGGTAAAAATGAAAGTTTTTATGTTTGGATTTGAAGAGTCAAAGAATGTTTGTCTCTCCTAGAGTGTGAGGAAGGTCATTCCATAACAATGGAGTAGTGAAATATAAGCCACAGTCACCAAAAGTCAAATCTTAGTCTGTGATTTTAGTTTCTACTGTTAAAGACATCTTAGAATCAACACTTTAATATGTGAGTTTCTAAAGCAGCATGGGAGATCTAAGAGATTTTGAAAGAGGTCAAATAGTTGGTGTCCCAACTGCAGGTGCATCAGTCACAGAACCAGCAAAATTATTTAATGTATCAAAGGAAAAAGTGTCAAAAATCCTGACAGTACATATCAAACAAGGAAAAACAGCAAGCCAAAGCTCACTGAAAGAGACAGATGGACAGTTAATAGGACTCACAAATTACCATATATCTACACATCTTTAAACCTGTCTAAAAAAAGGGGGTACATCATAAGCTTCACAAATCTCCTATTTATGGTAGGGCTGCCAATAAGAAACTGGTTGTAACCAAAGCCAATGCGCAGCGATGCATAACATGGTGTAATAAACTCAAAAACTGGACTTCTGAGCAGTGGACAAAAGTAATATGGTCTGTCTCTTACTCTTTCTGTTACATCTGGATGTGTTTATATTTGGAGAAAGCCATGCAAAGCCTTCAATCCACACTGCCTGTTTATATATGCACACATTGGTGGTTCCATTATGCTATGGATAGCATCGTGTCTTCGGGTCTGATTATTACTCTCCATGGTGAAATTACAGCCAAGAAATACAAAGCCATTTTAGGCACTGTAAAGTTGTAGCACACTATGGCCAAAAATTGTTTCCTCAAAACGGTCCAAGATGATAGCTTCCCCAAACACATTGCTAAACAAATTCAAGAGTGCCTCTTCTCTTTTCAGCATGGAATAAACCTATTACTTGTTCCTTTGCAGCCCACGCATGCTGACGTAGCTACCCACCTGAACAAATACAAGAGTGATTTCATGAACACCAAAATGAAGTCAAACACCTTCCATGACCTCCCCAATCACAAGATCTGCACATCTTTGTGAGATGTTCTATAACACAGAGTGGATTTCTACTTCCATCTCTCAAAGAACTGAACATGTTCCTTCTAGAAGGATGTCCCAATAGCCCACTAGAAACAGCTAAAAAAGTTGCATTCATTGCACTTTGAAGAAGGGTGAGGCTGCTGAATGCATATGGCAGCTCAACTTTTTATTAGTTCATAAAATTTTATATATTTGGTGTTCCATTATTTTTCTATAACCTGTATATATAAATGCTGTCCTGAATTATACAGTTGACAGTCCAAAGCCGAAGAACACCTGGCTTTTATCATCTACACCACTCTGAAAATGTCTGTCTGATTTTAGTATAGTAGAAGGCAGGTGTTCAACCCCTTGGAAAGGGAATTTATAAACTCACCTGTGACAGCTCCAGAGAGTATCACAGAGATCATGAAAATCCTAATAAACTATAACAATAGTGGATTTGCCAAAGGCTAACTCTGCCAAGTATAAAAACAGAATTCCATTATGCAGAAAAATGCAGCTTAAAGAAGGTATGGCATTAGTAATAGCTCAGACCCAAACTGAAAACAGACTCTCCAACATGAGCATGAGTGCCAGGATATAAACCATAATCCCACCACAGCCCTCAGACAAAATAGAGCAAGTCTCCATTTCTGTGTGGTGGAGTAGGAGTCTGTAACCCGGCACAAAATGGTCAATGACCAACAAGTAAGAGAGAGGACAAGATGGTGTGATGGCACAAGACAGCAGACAAGAACATACAGGAACAAACAATACCAACACAAAACAAGATCAATAAAGTGCATATTCAGAACTTTTCAATATGATCACAAGTGAGTATAGGTATGTACGTGTGTTTATACAGTGCCTTGCAAAAGTATTCAGAAACCAGCAGTTTTCACATTTTGTTACTTTAAAGCTTGCAGTTATGACACTTTAAAGAAGTAATATTTATTATATAAACAAACTACTCCACACATTCAAAGAAAAAAAAAACAAAAAAGAAAAAAGCCAATAGATAATTGAAAGAAATATAGAAACCTCACATAAACCTTTGTTGTTTTTGCTGTGGGAAACCAAACTAATGTATGTGCACAAACTCACCTTAATGGGCTTGCGTGGCCTATGTACAAAAATAGGGGTTCACATGATTTAAGAATACACCTATCTCTGTAAAGTCCCTTAGTCAGGTAGTGAATTTCAAGGATGGACACCATGGAGCTTTCAAAACAACTCAGGGATGAAGTTGTATAAAGGTACAGATATGGAAAAGTATATGAAAATATTTCAAAGAATCTAAATATCTCTTTTGATCATTACAAATTTAAGGCACTTAGACCATTCCAAGATCAAGCTGTCCCTCTACATTGAGCAGCTGTGTAAGCAGGAAACTAGTTACAGGTGCTACAAGGCAGCGAGTTTAAAACGTTACAGAGTTTAGTGGGTCAATAATATCCTTGACACTCCAAAATGGAGGGTTATATGGAACTGAAAAAAAACATCTCAAATCCATGGGGTTTATGATGAAGCACCTAACTGATACTGCACACATGTGTTTAAAGGTTTTGTGGTCAGACAAAAACAAAATAGAAGCTTCTGACTTAAATGCAAGGGTCACATAATTTAAAACGGCACAGTGCATCACCCAGTTCATACAATTTCTCTTCCAAGCACAGTATCAACATAATATAGTTTTTGCCTCTCATCAGCAGGGACAGGAAGCTTCTCACGATTGATAGAGATGGAGCAAAGTACTGGCACATCTTAGAGGAAAATCTGTTTCAGCATTAAAACAATGACAAAAATTCACCTTTTACCAGATAATGATACAAAACACAAGATGACAATGATACTGGAGTGGCACACAAATATGAAAGAAGATGTCTTTGATCGGCTCAAAGTCCTGCCTTGAATCCCATTAAAAATCTATCTACACTGTGGCAAGCAGAAGCTGACAGGCATGGGTGGGCAATCTTCGGTGGCTG